GACCGTTCTATAGTTAATTTCTGCTATAAAAGAAGGTAATAAAGTTAGAGAATCTATCTTGTGGTATAACCTAGAACAAATTGAATTCAATTATCATAATCAAATTTTAAGTGCTTTTTCCGATATACTTTATGATATTTATTAAAATATCACAAGTGCTAAAGAGCTTTGGAAAACTTTAGAGGAAGAATATGGAATTGATCATGTTGGAGTTGATAGATTTACCCCATTTGATTCTCATTCTTTAGTCACAAAAATAAAAAATATGACCATTATCCATTTCATCAAGCCATCATATTTGACTTGCTATATCTTGTGTGGATCCCGTAAAGACTATATTTTTATTCTCATTCTTACAAAAATTGGTACCAAACGGGGCCTTAATGCGTCAACCTTTAAAAAATATGTTATGGTGGACGGAAAATCTATAAATGAACAAATCCATCAATTTCAAGATTTACTACGACATGTAAAAGAAAAAGGGTCAAGTTTTAGTAAGGACTATAAAATTTCATGCCATATAGATAAACTTCCATCTTCTTGGTCGGACTTTGCTAAAAGTCTTAGACATAAGCAATGGATTTTAACGTTGAACCAAGTATTCAATTCCTTGATGGAAGAACATCATAGAAATCGTATCAACAAAGTTAATGAATCACGTGCTAAGGCAAACTTGGTAGAAAATTCAAAAACCCCTACTAGCTCCTCAAAGCAATTTAATTTTTGATGTAATAAGTTTAAGAAAAACTTTCACCGTTATAGAAAAAATTTCCAACTCAAGAATAACTACACTAAGGATAATAAAGGCAAAGAGAAGAAGGAGAAAGGGCCATGTTAAGTATGTGGAAGAACCAACCATATTACTCGAGATTGCTACTACAAAAGAATTAAAGAGTACAAGTTTAAAGATAAATTTCAAAAGAATCAAGTAAATAAGTTGAAGGATGGTGGACATTCCTTTAGGTGTGAATTATCAACATCTTTAGTCAATTTTACTTATAATAGTAATGAA